CATCGCTGTACTCTAACAATGTTTCTTACTATTTAATGTAAGTATACAGAATGCTACAATTTAATTATTTTAAGAGTGAAAATGCTATAACAAATACTTTAAGATATTGAATTTTTTTTAAATAAAACTTTAAAGATAAAAATGCACCTTTAACCTAATAAATATAATGTATTTTGGACATCACAAGTTGTAATTAATACCGTTTTTATACAAATATATATACTTAAGGGTGTAATTAATAAGTTATTTAATCAAGACAATTATTAAACAATGATAAACACGTGTCACTAACTAATTTATTGAAGGCACTCCCTCAAGTCTTATTATAGGGTATATTCTAGAAAAATTATTTAATTCTTAATATAAGGCACTCGGTAGAGTGTTAATTACATTTTTTAAATATTATCTTTATTTAAATTTATTGATTATGATAAAGAATGTAATGTAAACTTCAAAAATTTTTATTTAAATAAGGGTAAAATTAAAAATTTGTTTCATTTTCAAGTAAAGTTAGTGACCTAACCACATCCACATCTTCTTAATTCTAATAAGATAATTAGAAGTGCCCTATAGTAAAAATTCAAAAGAATATAAATTAGTTAAAAATGTGTTATAAGTTATAACAATAGACTGATGGTATAATTTTTAAAAACACTTAACAAGTTTATAAGCTTCAAATTCTACCGGGATCAGAGCGGAGTTTAACTCTTGCCATCCTTCGGCGACATATGGCTGGATCACCTTCTTGTCATTTGCTGTCCTTGTGTGGGATATTAAACAACTTTGGTGCTGTTGAAGATAATTAATTATTAGATTCGGGTAATGATGATTTTTAACAAGCAACATGACTTAAAATTCAAGGGAACCTCGGTCATCTTTGTCTTTATAGTTTAAACCAAGCATCACTCGAGCTTTTCAGTCGAGAACTAATTTTTACCGAGAGAGGGAATGACATTTAAAGCTTTTTTAGAAAAATTTATCATAATAAAAGCCCATTAGTTTTATATCAAATATTACCTTATAAAAATACACACTCCTTCCATTCAAAAATATAAGACATTTTTAATTGAATCTCACCTTCCAATAAAATTATTACCTACTTTTAAATTAACTTTATTTTTTTATATTTACCCTTATTAAATACCCTACAATAAATATAAAGTCATTATCAATAGAGGTACTTTAAAAAAAAACAATAATTATGCCTCAAAATATTAAAAATATCTTATATTTTTAAATATTTAATTCTTTAAAAAATATTTTATATTTTTTATCGGAAGGAGTATATGTTATCATTAAAAGATGAACTTTAACTTGTTATTTATCAGGGTTTATAGTTTTGGGTATGCAGAGCCGTGGAAGCCACTAGGCGATTAAGGCAGTCTCAAAATATGTCTATGTATATCTTATATAGTTGGTCATTATTTTTCAGTTGAGCATTAATATTAATTATATATTCTCACAAAAAACTTATTGCTTGCTCATACCCTGTATAACCAATCAGTATTTTTTTTTTTTTTAAATCTCATGGACATGATGCCTTGAGAAAAGAAGGGTATTATCACCTTACAGCCAAATTAATTCGATTCCCCAACGTGTGGGAGTTGAGTCATTATCTTTCTATTAAGCATTGATATTAATTACATTTTTTCATTAAAAAATTATTGCTACTACTTACTAAGATAAATTTTTTGAAATTAAAATTACTTAAATATTATTAAGATTAGTCACATTATAAAATAGATTAAATGGTTTGCTATATTATTTATTGAAAGTGCAATGTTAAAATTACTTAATCATAAAATTTTATTATTTAATCTTGCTCTTAAAAAATTAGAAAAATTATATAAAGATAAATAAATGATAATACATTCAACCTCTTAAATAATTTTGTCCTAGGTCTCAAAATTTCTTGGCATGGCCTTGTGGCTATAACCAGTTAAGGTTCGATCTATAACAATAATATATATATATTTTTACAAGATAATACTTGATGTAAAATTGATAGACTTTTATTATAATAAATTATTTTAAGAGAGCCTTAAATGTTATTATTCAAAAAAGAAAAAAGTAAACGGCGTATATTATTATTTATTTTATTTTTTTATGAAATGAGTGTAATATTGTAAAAACAGTATTAAAAACAATATTCCAAAAACATTAGGCATTGAGGGTTCATGGTTATACTTCCAACCTTGTTGAAGCCAATCTATCGTGTAAAATAAAAAGGGATTCAATATAGGGAGAAAGACAGTTAGATTCCAAACGATTGAATTAATGACAGTTGTGAAATTTTTTTCTTAAAAATGAATAATAAATATTAATTTAAATAATTATAGATATAAATTACTATTATAATCTAATAGCTACATTTGATACTAAAATACTTACTTGCAATTAAAACTTATGGATTTGTAATGATTTGGATTGATATTTTTAACTTATTTTTTAAAAATTGTCAAGGATTTCACTATCATTAATTCAATATTCCAGAACCTAAGTGTCATTCTTCCTTGAATATATTGGGATCGTTTGTTTAAGATAAAAAAATAAGTAATTTTTGGATCCTTTAGAGATTTTATAAAAAGAAATTTATTTTGTAGAGATTTTATAAGAAGCAAAAATTATTTTACGTTTGGTTATATATAATGATAGAAAAGTAATTATTAGTTAGTTATTTTTAAATTTTATGATATATTTCTTGATTCTTGTTTTATAAAAATAATTTATTATTATATTATTTAAAAATTTTATGATATCTTTATGTATCCTACTTTCTAAAAACACTCTCTCATATACCACATTAAATTATTTTCAGAAGCTATTCAGAGTAATTTATTAAAATAATCAACAGCATGCTTTTTTTATTCTAATTTTTTTAAAAGTTTAAACAAATCTTATAAAAATTCATAAAATATTTTTTTTTTCAAAAAATAAGTGATTTTTTTTTATAAAATAAACTAAAAGAAACGAGTCCATTGTCCACATGCTAGCATGTAGAAGCAAAAATCATATAGAAGGATCGGGGGAAAATATTTATTAGAGAGGATAATAAAAATAATTATTATTTAGAAGGATGAAATATCAAAATATACATTTAAAAATACTATGTTGTTCTTTTATAATGTCTCTTACATTTTTTAACAGGTTATATTTGATGTTTGCTAACAAAAACGCATTATCCAAGAAAAAGATTTTTTTTATATAACGAGATGAAAAACAGAAAACTAATTAAGACAAAGCTAAAATAATACCAGGAATAATTAATGATCCACTTTCATTTCTTTAGAGACCGAGACAGCGCATTATAAGTAAAATAAATTTTTTTAAAAAATTATATTAAATTAATTTTAAAAGTAAATATTTTTAAAAATATATTGATTCAATTATTAAAAATCAAAAAAAAATTTAATTATGTTATTTTTTTAAAAATTTCATATTACTTTTTGTCCTTGAGAGTGAGATTAAAAAATGCAAAAATTTACTAAGAGTATTTTTGTAATTTAGACAGTACCCCATGTTAAGTTTAAGATTGATAGATTTTATACTGAGATTATAATAATCAATTGTACTTACATTGTTCCTTCATTTTAATTTTAATTTTTATGATCTCTCATGATAAATTTTAAAAGTATTAAATCTCGCTCCCTAATTTTCTTAAAGAAGAAATATGATGCAGTCAATCATAGGCAAAACCCTGTTAACGAAAAATGGATAAGGCTCTTTTTAAAATACAATAAAGATATAATTTTTAATCTAAACATGACATTAATCACATTTCAATTGAATATTATATATTATATATTTATGTAAAAGCCATGTACATGACATGCACCGTTGAATAAAAAATATAAATATTTTACCAATTTTTTCGCAAGAAATCCATTTAATCAAGTATATTTACTAAAAATATGAATCAAGAAATATAATTAATTATTGATTATGAAATCTACTAATCCACTCCTCACGAATTCCATTCATAAGTTCCTTTCAATATTTTTCAACAAATTAAGAAAACACTGACATTTATTAACTTTTTCCAAAAAAAAATTATTTTATCCTTATTTAAATACTTGCATCTTAATAAAGTTTATTGCATTTTTACACAAACATTTAATAAATACAAAAGAAAAAAAATGTAATCAATAATCAATGTAATATCTTACAAAAATAACAGGATCAACAAAAATTAGTTTGGTCGGTGTGAATTTGGCTCATGAGTCATGATTCACAAGATCATAAGATCAAATCTTATTATTAATGTGAGGATCTTGTTGGTAATCAATTTAAAACGTTCAAGAGTTTCAAAACACATCATTAAATTTCTCTATACTTTCAAACTACAACCAAAGCCAATGACCATATTATAGGACACTTAGCCACAGCACACACATTAAATAATGTTTATACACATGCATTCACTCGTTCACGTACAGCTTAAGGGGGGGTTCATTTTAAAATTCCAAATATAAGGAAGCTATTTGTGCATGGTACAAAGTTTAGAGGAATTATATATAGTTTATGTAACACACCAAATTTTTTTTTTTTTTAAATAATTTAACTCAACCATAGTTGGGTTACAGCCACCCAACACATTTTTATATCAATAATTTTGATATAAAATATTTTATAATTGGCTTCAACTCACACACTATAACATTTCAGATAAATTTTTACCTCCCACATGCCATTAGGCTAAATCACATTTGTCCATCCTTATACTCCCAACAAGTAAACTAAATTACATTTGTCCATCCTTATACTCCCAACAAGTAAAATAAGCAATTTAATCAATTTTCAACACAAGCCAGTTATTTGACCTTATAATCATGCCATTTTAACCAATCCAAAATAAACCAAATATTAAAATTACAGTCATCCAAATTGTACCAAAAATAGAAATAGTTTGAAAGGCATGATTACATTTATATATTCATATAATTGACAATAAACATAAAAAGTCCTAATATTGGCAATATAACACATTATAAATCATAAATTAAATATCCAAAAGAGACAGTGGATCCATACCACTAAGCCTCTGGGACTCCTCTACGTGTCACTCGTGGCTCTTCTCCTGAAAATTGTTAACCACATAATGAGACTCAAAAGTCCCAGTAACCAAAGCCAATTTATGATAGTGTATACAAACAGTTAAGTGTGTGCTTACTAAGTGAGAATTAAAAATAATATAATTCCAACAAATATAAGAAATATTATAATAAACACAAACAACCATCCTTATATCCCTCCATTAACCTCGAGCCGTAGCCCTCACTCGGTGCTAAATTACCCGGCCAAAGGTAGATTAGCCCGAGCCCTTACAAACCACCTATTGAGCTCCAATAGGGGCATACCACGTGGCACATAAATACAACAATAATAGCAAGTCTCCCAACACCTCCCACAATAATTAAACAAATTCATAATAATATTGCACAATTATACAATATTACAAAATTCATAATTTTCTCAATAATCACCCAATTAACAAGAAGTAACACTAATCATAATTAAAAGCATGGTTACCTTGTGGCTTTTTCAATAAATTATTCCTTAAAATTTCTCTCTCTCCACAATCTTCACCAGTAATACAATCTACAAATAACATATTATTTATAAATATTAGTTTCAATTTTTGAAACTAATAAAATAATTCTAATAATAGAATTAAAAATATAACATAATTCTAATCTCAATCTTAATACAAATCTATAGTTAATACTATTAAGTAAAATTTTTAACTCCTCTTTTAATTATCAATAAACATTAATAATCTAAAAATCAAATTTTAAACTAATTTCTATTATCAAAATTTTCTTTTTATTTTATAAATTCGTACCTAAAATACCCAAAAATTAAAAATTGAGTCTCTAGCTTAGAATCATAATCCTATAACCATAATAATTCATTTCTCATCCCAAATAATCATCTAAACCTCAATAAATCAACATATATTTTCAGATCTAGTTTAGAATTTGATCCATAAGCCACAGATTCAAAGATCATCAATAAATTTATACTCTAGAACATTTATTATACTACTGACAACCTCAAAAATCATATTTATTCAACATAAATTCATCCCTCTTCCAGATCTTAAATTTTCTACCACTACAAACTCAGAAACTAAATAAGAAGGATGACTAAGAAAAATTTTTAGAACACTTACTTAGTCTTGAAAAGCTTAAAATCACACCCTAAATATCCTATTAAAAACTCTTACCTTAAAAATTTAGATATTTCGCACCGGAAACTCGCTTCTCTCCGCCTCAGCTCGCGCGCAGAATGAATGAGGAAATGAAGGAAGGTGAGTTTTTATAAAAATTCAGTGGGTCCCACACATTTTTTTTTATTATTATTTCTTCTTCTCTCTCTTCCCCCCTTTTTTTTTATTATTATTTTATACTTACTATTCATGCGGTGCCGAAAGCAAATTCGTTTTCTCTTCTTCTTCCTTTTTTTTTTTTTTTTTTTGGCATACCTTTTTCCCTTTTTTTTATTATAATAATAATTTAATAATTAATTTTTTTAATTAATTTTTTTTAATAAATTTATTTTTTTTTAAATTTTTTTTTTATTTAGAATTATATCCTAAATTAGATTTAATAATCATTTTCTACTAATTTTCTTACCTCTAAATATTATATTTTTTTTTAAAAAAAAATTCTATTAACCTAAATTAACTATTAAAATTTAAATTGGGATGTTACAATTCTCCCCTCCTTTTAGAAATTTTGTCCTCAAAATTTAAAATTAATAACTATTAACTACTCACTTAATCAAAAAGACGAGGATAATCACGTCGCATACTGTCCTCGGTCTCCCACGTAGCATCACCTGGAGTTGTGCTCTTCCAGATTACTTTAACCAATCTAATGGTCTTGTTTCTTAATTGCTTGTCCTTATAATCCACAATCCTTTCTGGTTCAGCTTTGAATGTTAAATTCTCCCTGAGTTCAATTTCCTCGGGTTCAATTATATGGGAAGGATCTGGTTGATACTTTTTCAGTTGTGACACATGGAATACGTTGTGTATTCCAGCAATTTGGGGTGGTAATGCTACTTGGTATGCTACTGGTCCAACTCGTTTTAAGATCTCAAAAGGCCCCATAAACCTTGGTGTCAACTTCTTAGCCTTAATAGCTCTTCCAACACCAGTTACTGGAGAGATTTTCAAAAATACATGGTCACCTACTTCAAACTCAAGCGGTCTTCTCCTCTTATCCGCATAACTCTTTTGTCTACTTTGAGCTGTGAGTAATTTTTGCTTGATTAAAGCAATCTTTTGGGTAGTCTCATCAACAATGTCTGGCCCCAAAACAGTTCTCTCACTTAATTCTGTCCAACACAGTGGCGATCTACATTTTCTTCCATACAATGCCTCATAAGGTGCCATCTGAATGCTAGAATGAAAACTATTATTGTAGGCAAATTCAGCTAATGGCAAGTGACTATCCCAATTACCTCTAAGCTCAATGGCACACGCTCTTAACATGTCTTCAAGAGTTTGTATGGTTCGTTCTTTGCCCATCGGTCTGGGGGTGGTAAGCAGTGCTAAAACTCAGACGAGTACCCATGGCTTCCTGTAATGACTTCCAAAAGTTTGATGTGAATCTCGGATCACGATCAGATACAATATTTGTCGGCACTCCATGCAATCTCACCACTTCTCTTATGTAGATTTCAGTTAATTTTTCGAGAGAATACTTGATATTAGTAGCCAGAAAATGAGCTGATTTGGTGAGTCGATCTACGATTACCCATATAGTGTCATGACCAGAAGATGTTCTAGGCAATCCTGTAATGAAGTCCATAGAAATGCTGTCCCATTTCCACTCTGGAATATCAAGAGACTGTAGCATCCCGGCTGGTTTCTGATGCTCAATTTTGACTTTCTGACAAGTCAAACAACGAGTTACATGTTCAGTTACATCTCTCTTCATCCTTGGCCACCACCAACCACGTCTTAAGTCATGATACATCTTAGTTGCTCCTGGGTGAATGGTATATTTACTCTGATGAGCCTCCTCAAGTAGGATATTTTTCAATCGAGTATCATTAGGCACACACACTCTACCTTTATATCTTACGACATCATCATCGGTCACATCAAAATGTTCAGCCTTTCCAGCCCCAATCTCTACCCTAATCTTATTCAAATATCATCCTTCTGTTGCGCAATTCTAATTTCTTCCCAAAAATTATTCTCAAATTCAGTAATATGTAGAGCAGCCAAACGATTTTCGACTACTTCTACATTTACTGCATGAAAACTACTCCATAATTCATGTTCTCTGACCATCATGTGAGCAGTATGTACAAGCTTCCTGCTCAGAGCGTCGGCGACTACGTTAGCTTTTCCTGGATGATACTTCAACTCAAAGTCATAATCCTTCAAAAACTCAATCCATCTGCGCTGTCTCATGTTGAGCTCCTTTTGATCAAACAAATATTTTAAACTTTTATGATCACTGAAGACCTCAAAAGAAGAACCATAAAGATAGTGCCTCCAAATCTTCAAAGCAAATACCACAGCAGCAAGCTCCAAGTCATGAGTAGGGTAATTTTCCTCATGAGGTCTCAACTGTCGAGAGGCATAAGCCACTACTCGATCCTCCTGCATCAATACACAACCTAAACCTTTCTTAGAAGCATCAGTATATAAGGTATAAGGAGCAGTTGGAACAGGTAAGGTGAGCACCGGTGTGGTGGTCAACCTCTTTTTCAGCTCCTGGAAGGCAACTTCACACTCGTTCGTCCAAATAAATGGAGCATCTTTCCTGGTCAACTTAGTCAAGGGCATTGCAATTTGTGAAAAACCCTTAATGAAACGACGATAGTAGCCTGCAAGACCCAAGAAACTCCTAATCTCTGTCACACTTCGAGGTTGCTCCCATTTCATCACTGCATCTATCTTACTAGGGTCCACTGCTACCCCTTCTTCTGAAACAACATGGCCTAAGAATTTAACTTCTTTAAGCCAAAAATCACATTTGCTCAACTTGGCATAGAGCTTGTGCTCTCTTAATATCTCCAAAACAATTTTAAGATGTCTAGCATGGTCCACCTCATCTCGAGAATAAATAAGTATGTCATCAATAAAGACTACAACAAATTCATCGAGATAAGGCCTGAAGATTCGATTCATATAATCCATGAAGACAGCTGGGGCATTTGTTAACCCAAACGGCATCACTAGGAACTCATAGTGCCCATATCTAGTCCTAAAAGCAGTTTTAGGGATATCCTCTGCTCTAACCCTCAATTGATGATACCCTGATCTTAGATCAATCTTAGAAAATACTGCTGAATTGACTAATTGGTCTAACAAATCATCAATTCGAGGTAAGGGGTACTTGTTCTTGATGGTTACCTTATTCAATTGTCTATAATCAATACACAATCTAAGGCTTCCATCTTTCTTTTTCACAAACAGTACCGGTGACCCCCATGGTGATACACTCGGTCTGATAAACCCCTTCTCTAACAACTCTTCAATTTGTCTCTTCAATTCAGCTAACTCCGATGGAGACATCCTATAGGGTGCCTTAGAAATAGGCCCCGTACCAGGTGCGAGTTCAATCGAGAACTCAACCTCTCGTTCTGGAGGCAAACCGATCACTTCAGTAGGAAAGACGTCAGGGAATTCTCTCACTACTGGAATCTGATCTACACCTTCTTCAATCTCTGCCTTGATTGAGAAGAAAATCATAAAAGCTTGACAGCCCTTTCTTATACACTGTTCTACTTGAGCTGCAGACAACAACATAGGACTTTGGGACTCTACAGGGGTTACAGTAAGAGCTGAGAGTGACACACTCTTTTTCTGACAATCAAGTACAGCTCCATTTGCAGACAACCAATCCATCCCCACAATAACATCAATCCCAGACAAAGACAAACAAATGAGGTCTATGGTGGTCTTTCGACCCTCATACTCAACCTCTACATTTAGACATGCCTTAGCAGTCCTTACAGTCAAACCAGCAGGAGTAGAAATCTTCACATCAAAAGGTAAGGTACACACAGGCAATTTACATCTTTTCATACATTCATCAGACACAAAAGAGTGTGTAGCACCCGAATCAAACAAAGCACAAACATCATTATCAAGGATTCGGATTATACCTCGGATAGCATTAGGGTTGTTAGCAGCCTCTGGCCCAGAGAGGGCATACACTCGTGCTGGTACTGTAGGTCTCTGATCATTACCCCTATTTTGGTTTTGATAGCAGAATCGAGCAATATGACCAGGCTTCTGACAGATGTAACAAACCCAACAATCACCAGAATGAAACTTCCCACACTTACTGCATGCTTGATTACTAGCAGCACTAGGAGTAGGATTAAAGGTAGCTGGGCTCCTATAGGACCCTTGACTTCCACTCTGATTCCCTCTGTAGCTCTGGCCCTTATGATAGTAGCCCTTCTTCTTCTGATTTCTAAAGCCTCCAAAGATTTGACTGCTCCTCTTCTCTACTCCACCAATGGGTCGGTGTGGATAGGGGGCTTCCCATGAGGTTCTTTCCTCCTCTCTCTATCAGCTTCTAATCTAGCCTCTCTCTTCCTCCGAGAAACTATTCGAAGCTTATTGCACATCTCACTGAATGTCTTGATCTCAAAAGGGGCTAACTGTTCCCTTAGATCAGGCCTCGCCTTCTCTAGTAATCGTTCAGCCATCCACTCCGTGTCTTCATGTTTCTGGAGGTAAGTAGAGTATTTAGATAATTCTGAGAATTGTTCAATAAATTCATCCTCATCTAAATCACCCTGACGGAATGCATGAAACTCAGCCTCCTTTTCTGCTCTCAGTGCAGTAGGAAAATAATTCTCGAACAATATGGCTTTAAAATCTTCCCAAGTAAGAGAGGAATCATCCTTCGGTCCTGATGTTTCCCACCATTTCTTAGCACTCTTCTGTAGTAGGAATATTGCCAGCTGCACCTTTTGATTAGAAGTGCACACAACCATACGAAAAATACTCTCCAATTGATCTATCCATTCTTCAACTACCGCCGGCTTAAGATTTCCATCGAAAGTAGGAGGATTAAACTTACGAAAAGTACTCCAGATCTTTGTGATCGTGGATGTCTGTTGCTCAGAGTGGAGACTCACATTCTTCGGACTAGTCTCATGGTGAGAATAGGGAGGTAAGCCTTCATCAGCAGATTGGCTCGCATTGAATACCTTGGTATGGCTTCCTTCTTGTTGGCCATTTCCCTCTCGGTTATCATTCTCCTTATATTGTCTTAAAGCGGCCAACTCTTCTTCTTGTCTCTTCATGCGGTCACTAAGATTATATAGTAGATCCATCATTTGCCTCATAGTTGGCTCATCCTGCCTTAGTTGTGACTGTATGGGCTCGCCCTGCCCAATTTGTTGCTGTGTGGGCTCCGGTTGTGGCAGTGAAGGTATGTCATTTCCTATTGGCTCTATAGAATCACCGGTAATTTCGCCACCTCTCCTAGTTTTGGACACCATCTCTCCCCTCCTAAAGGATGGAAGTCACATAATTAAATTAACACTAATCTCAAGACAAGAAAAATAATGGAGAAGTATTATGATTTACTAATGTATATTGCCAATAAACTAGGTTAATGTATAACAATTTCATAATTTATAAGAATTTGAAACATGTAGCTCTGATACCAAAATTTGTAACACACCAAATTTTTTTTTTAAATAATTTAACTCAACCATAGTTGGGGTTACAGCCACCCAACACATTTTTATATCAATAATTTTGATATAAAATATTTTATAATTGGCTTCAACTCACACACTATAACATTTCAGATAAATTTTTACCTCCCACATGCCATTAGGCTAAATCACATTTGTCCATCCTTATACTCCCAACAAGTAAACTAAATCACATTTGTCCATCCTTATACTCCCAACAAGTAAAATAAGCAATTTAGTCAATTTTCAACACAAGCCAGTTATTTGACCTTATAATCATGCCATTTTAACCAATCCAAAGTAAACCAAATATTAAAATTACAGTCATCCAAATTGTACCAAAATAGAAATAGTTTGAAAGGCATGATTACATTTATATATTCATATAATTGACAATAAACATAAAAAAGTCCTAATATTGGCAATATAACACATTATAAATCATAAATTAAATACCCAAAAGAGACAGTGGATCTATACCACTAAGCCTCTGGGACTCCACGTGTCACTCGTGGCTCTTCTCCTGAAAATTGTTAACCACATAATGAGACTCAAAAGTCCCAGTAACCAAAGCCAATTTATGATAGTGTATACAAACAGTTAAGTGTGTGCTTACTAAGTGAGAATTAAAAATAATATAATTCCAACAAATATAAGAAATATTATAATAAACACAAACAACCATCCTTATATCCCTCCATTAACCTCGAGCCGTAGCCCTCACTCGGTGCTAAATTACCCGGCCAAAGGTAGATTAGCCCGAGCCCTTACAAACCACCTATTGAGCTCCAATAGGGGCGTACCACGTGGCACATAAATACAACAATAATAGCAAGTCTCCCAACACCTCCCACAATAATTAAACAAATTCATAATAATATTGCACAATTATACAATATTACAAAATTCATAATTTTCTCAATAATCACCCAATTAACAAGAAGTAACACTAATCATAAATTAAAAGCATGGTTACCTTGTGGCTTTTTCAATAAATTATTCCTTAAAATTTCTCTCTCTCCACAATCTTCACCAGTAATACAATCTACAAATAACATATTATTTATAAATATTAGTTTCAATTTTTGAAACTAATAAAATAATTCTAATAATAGAATTAAAAATATAACATAATTCTAATCTCAATCTTAATACAAATCTATAGTTAATACTATTAAGTAAAATTTTTAACTCCTCTTTTAATTATCAATAAACATTAATAATCTAAAAATCAAATTTTAAACTAATTTCTATTATCAAAATTTTCTTTTTATTTTATAAATTCGTACCTAAAATACCCAAAAATTAAAAATTGAGTCTCTAGCTTAGAATCATAATCCTATAACCATAATAATTCATTTCTCATCCCAAATAATCATCTAAACCTCAATAAATCAACATATATTTTCAGATCTAGTTTAGAATTTGATCCATAAGCCACAGATTCAAAGATCATCAATAAATTTATACTCTAGAACATTTATTATACTACTGACAACCTCAAAAATCATATTTATTCAACATAAATTCATCCCTCTTCCAGATCTTAAATTTTCTACCACTACAAACTCAGAAACTAAAGAAGAAGGATGACTAAGAAAAATTTTTAGAACACTTACTTAGTCTTGAAAAGCTTAAAATCACACCCTAAATATCCTATTAAAAACTCTTACCTTAAAAATTTAGATATTTCGCACCGGAAACTCGCTTCTCTCCGCCTCAGCTCGCGCGCAGAATGAATGAGGAAATGAAGGAAGGTGAGTTTTTATAAAAATTCAGTGGGTCCCACACATTTTTTTTTATTATTCTTCTTCTCTCTCTTCCCCCCTTTTTTTTTTATTATTATTTTATACTTACTATTCATGCGGTGCCGAAAGCAAATTCGTTTTCTCTTCTTCTTCCTTTTTTTTTTTTTTTGTTTTGGCATACCTTTTTCCCTTTTTTTTATTATAATAATAATTTAATAATTAATTTTTTTAATTAATTTTTTTTAATAAATTTATTTTTTTTTTTAAATTTTTTTTTTAGAATTATATCCTAAATTAGATTTAATAATCATTTTCTACTAATTTTCTTACCTCTAAATATTATATTTTTTTTTTAAAAAAAATTTCTATTAACCTAAATTAACTATTAAAATTTAAATTGGGATGTTACAGTTTAGCTAGCAAGTTTTGTTCACCAAAAGGAGTCACATACTCAATATACGATAAGAACATCCTTAGGCTAGCAAATGTATAAATTACAAGTAAACAAAGGCCCTAAAACAAAAATGGTGTTCCCTACACCAATACAAAGCCTTAAGTGCTTTTTCGATTGAGCTCTTTCTTGAAAAATAGTTATACACAAGAGATGAGACATAAATGTCTAGTAACCTAACTAAAATACCATGATGCATGTACATGCAACTAATCACATTGACTGTTAAGCAGACAAGTAAAACATGATTGAAATACATAATAATATTTCAAGTTCAAACATAATCATGCATGACATTGCCTTATCACCACCTTACATCATACTCGGTACTCTAACTCATCTAAATAAATGTAAGCTAGTTCGAGCCATGTATGCCACCCATTAAGCCTAATGGGGGCATACCAAATAGTAATTTAGTTTAACACACAACTCCCAACCTTACACTACTAACCATGTAATTTAAACACAATTCCATACATGCATGTTCAAAAACACAATAGGTCATGGTTTCAAGTACACAACCTTAATTCAAAACACATTTCAGTATGGTATAATCTCATTTAGCAACTCAAACTTTTAAAATACACGTGTTTATTTTTAAATACATTTTTTTACAACACAACTCTCCATAACAAAATTCCATACCATCAATCACAAGTTACACACTATGGCAGGTCAGAGTAGTTACCATCACTCCTTGCAAGCAAAGTTCCCTATACACATGAATAGGCACCACTTAAGGTGTTAACACCATAATTTACATATCACACAATACTAATAATCAATAATTCTCACTATTTATAGCTAACAAAATGCTTAAACACTAATCACAGACTAATCTTAGGATTAGGTTAATTAATTACTCTCATTAACCCCAGCATCTCCCATACACTTTAATCATCTTACTTAGTCTCATTAACGCTCGTTACACTTTCCAATGTATATATTTAAATCTTAGAATTCAAAATCATCATAAAAGTGTCAATTTTAACCCTAGGGTTTTGGATTTAATTATCTCATAGCCATAAACAACACCAATACTACCTAAAGAACATTAATTTATCTCAAGTAGCACCTTAAATTCAAACTTAAGGGTTGGGTATTTTAAAAAAATGAAACCCTAATACTAAAAGTGAACAAACTGTAGAAAAAAGTAAGATTAAAGGGTAGATGAAAGATTAACCAAGCTTACTTTAGTGGTTTGTGGCTATAAATTCGTGCATTAGGGTGAGAACCTTAAACCCTAGCAAAGCCTGTGAAAAATCACCCAAATAACACCACAACCCTCTTTATCAGGTCTGTCATAAACATAGAATTGGTATTCAAATTTAGTGCATGATACAAAAACGAGGCACCTCATTAAAGCACCAAATTTAGGCCTAGTTTGGCATAAAACTTGTATTTGGGCCCTATTTAAACTTCATGCATGTCTTTAGGCCTATTTTAACCTATGATTAAGTGCCCACACTACTAACTAATTATTAATTATTCAATTTAATTTTTCAATAAAAACTAGGATGTTATATTATCTAAGATGTTTGGTGTGCAACCAAGTTTGTTCACACTTAGGCTTTGGTTTTGATGTTGACTTTAGAAGGGGGATTTTGTTCGGGAGAAAAAAAAAGCATATTTTGGCACCTACAATGGGAATTTGTGAATAAAATCCTCATGTAGAGAAACTACACATGTCACAGAGAGTGTATTTCCCTCTCTATGCCATTGCCACGGCATATGTCACATATGTCGTGGCACGTGACATGACTTTTTTCATAATTATTTTTTGTTAAGTTTTTAACTTATGAAATGGTTCATTTAGGCTATTTTATCTCCGTTGAACTTATTTTGGATAATTTAACTTATGAGAACCATGCTTCACTTTAATTACCTTTTCTATCATTTTATTTGATTTAAATACTTGTTTTTGATAAGATCTCATGAGGTACTCTTAAATTAATATTGTTTCCATTTGGTATAGTTGTTAAGCTTAGTTCCACCTAAATTATCATGGTAGTTCTATTTTCACATATTTAACTTTTTTTTATTATGGTAGTGTACTTTGTAAAATGTTTTAATGGTATGGAAAACCTTCTTTTATCATGGTAATTTTGTGAAATGATATTTGATTTTTAAGTATCATAGTAAACACTTTTCTGTTATGGTAAGGCTTTGAACAATTACCTTTTCGCGCTTCCTCTTTTTTACAAAAGTAAGAGTAAGGAGAATGAACTTCGTTGCTTCCTCTTGTTCATGAGGATGACAGTGAGAGAAGGTGTGGAGACAATCACAAATGATGAGAATAACACCACTACAAAGGAAAGTGAGGAATCCAAGACGGCGCCACGGTAGAGGCCTGGGAGTGGAAGTGCTACTAATAGGAGGGACGATGGTGATGAGGTTGATTAGTGAAGGTGGCGAGGGGCACAAGTTAGGCCTAAAAGGCGTCAAAATCCAGGCCCCAGGAAAATGGGCAAAACATACGGATCATCTAAAAAATAAAAATAGTATAATTGATGTTATGTAAAAAAATAAAATAAAATAAAATAAAATATAATATAATATAATATAATATTTTCTCTAATTCTATTTATAAATCACATTTTAAATTTGTTTTTATTTATAAGTCATGGTATGACTTTTTAGGCAATATTTAAAAAGTATTTTTAAAATTTTCCTTTGTGAAAAAGAAAAAGAAATATGATATCACTTTTTGAATTTATTATGTAAGGACATATTTAAAATTTTATACTTTTTATTTCTTGTACTTTTTTTTATTGGTATTGATGAAATTGACATAAATAATTTATAAAAAAAACTAAAAGAGTACAATATAATGTGTATAAGCATTGGCCTGGGCTAACTAGTCCTCAAAGTTGGTTTGAGGTCTAGTCAGCCTTGACCACTAACCCGGTCTTGTGTTCAGGTTGCTTTTTCTTATTTTGGACTAGATTGGGTTGGGATAGATTGGATCAGTTGATCAGGCTTTGAGTTTGTTTACACAAACATACTTGTAAGTATTTTTTAAGTTTGGAAGCATACAAATGCTGATGAGTTCTCAAGATTCAACTATTTTAAGTACTTCTCTAGTCTTATTTACAAGTTATTTTCGACATGTTTTATTAATATAAATGAAAACTTTAAAACTCATTACCTCTGTTTTAAAATTTAATAAGTTATTAACTTTGTCCTTATTAAATATATCTTTTAATAATATTTTTTTCTCTTCAACATTTAATGCAGGGTAAAAGAGAAAATTTATAATAAAAATTTAATGATGTAATTTATAAATAAGACAAAAAAATTATTCTCGTTTTATTCTATAAATAAGATCAGAGAAAGTATCTTATAAATAATAGAGGAAGAAAAAATATCTAATAATAAAATAAAAACATGACTAACTGTTCCAAAAATAAATTAATCAAATCATCAAATATATAACATAAATTTGTTCTCCGTCTTTAACAGGATTTCCAGTATGGTTGGAACAAGGAGGTGCAGGCGCAGTGAATTGCTACCCTCATTCTACTCGTCGAGTGACGCGAGAAAAACCGTAAAATCCAGTTCAGTTCTGTCTTGCTTTTCCTCGTTAAGCAGCGGATTAGACACCTAACACAAGTAGAGAGAACCCTAGGGTAAAGCCTCCAAGCCGCAGCTCGAGCCAAGCCGCGCTTAAACGCGCGAAGGAACAATTCAATGCGGAAAATAACGGTTCAGAGAATCCACACTCGTCTGATCCTCTCTCGCAATTGCGGGCGTGTGTCTTTGTCTCACGCTCTCCTTCAAGCCAATCCGATAATACGAAACCTTCGGTAACTCTTCCCCTCTCTGCCCCCTCACCTCTTAGGTTATCGCAGTCTCCGGTGAAGGGTAAATTTCAATTTGTTCGCGAAGTTTGTTGCTTCGATTTACTGCAGATTATAGACGTCTTCTTTCTCTGGGGCGGGCAACGAGGATTTCGCTGGTAATTTTTCTTCAGCTTCCCATTGTTAATTTTTTTTCTCTCTACCTCGTCAAGTTTGCCCCTGAAGGTTTGGTTTTTAGGGTTTCGGTTCTCCGAATCTGGAAAGAAGGTAACTTGAATGTGGCTTACTAGCTGTTTTCTCTAAATTTTGTTTTTTTAATCGTGGTTTACTTGCAGGGGGTTGCTGCGGCTCCCATAGGTGCCGCGGAGGATATTTGTTACATCTTTCGGCTTTTCTTCTTATGGTAATTATTCAGCTCCCGCGCGCGCGTTTTTTATTCGTTCATTTATTTATTTTCCTCTCTCGTAATGGTATTTTCGGCTTTAGTTTTTCGGGGAAATTAAGGGGGTCGGAGAGGTTGCTACTGTGAGCAATTCTCTCACTTTCTGGTTTTGAATTATTGAATGCCAGCGGACAGATGTTTGAGCTGTTTTTTTTTTGGGAGACTGAGTTGCTTCATTATTCTGTAAAAAACTGGACAGTTCATTTAAATTTTATGTATAGAGAAGCAAGCGGTGTTGCTAAGAGCCTTTTGCTCAGGAAGCTTATGACATGAGTTCTATTTTTGGTTACCCCCAGCCCCTGAAAGAAAGGGGGTGTTTCTTTGACATTAATAGATAAATATTTATATATTTGTAGTTACATTTGTTTCAATGTTTCTTTGGCCAACACATTTACCTCAATGCTAAATGGAGAAACAAGACTTGGGTACTTCGACCACGTTAAGTGGTGTAGTTGCGTATATTGTTTTCTTATGTGAATGAACTTTGAAATTATTATTATTTTGCCAAACAATTTTTCTTGACATGATGTGAGGGGGATTGATAGCAGTTGAAAACGATATAATAATTTCTGTTTCCATTGGGCGACTTGCCTGTGATGTTTTCAGTTTAACCTGGAAAAGCTAGTTCTTGTAGCATCTTTGTTGGACTGTGAAAAGTTGTAAGCATTTATTCTGGCATTGACCTGGGAAACTTACCTGTATATGAATTCTTATGATGTTTGTAATTGTCACATCGAAGGAATTTAGATTTTAACTGGTTATGCATTTGCGTTAATTTGCTGGGATCTCATGAAAATTGGGCATAGTTGTATGAGTTAACCAATTAGTTGGGAAATTCATCTTTCTTAGTTCTAGTTGGCAGATGATCTATGATTCCTCTACCTGCTGGATGAATATATTTAGCAAGAAATGACGGAGGCTTCTAGCTTATTTCATATATAACTGTAAGGGTTGTCCTGTTGTTGATTAATATGCTTCCTTTAGCGCCGCTTCTGAAACTCCTTTGCTCTGTGTTATTTGAATTTTTAACTAGCTGGAGTGCTTTGTTAATGTGGTTGCTAAAAACAATGGCTAATTTTATGAGGGCAGGAAAGGTTGCTGGTTCATATCTTCCTAGGGAACAACTTTTTATTACATGTTGAGAGAAAATATTGTCTAACATGTCTATACATTGGAGTCAGACTTGGAGAGTTATGATATAATTGAGAATCTTTTCCATTTCTGCTTGCTAGGTTGTTTACAGATGGAAGCTGTTTATTAAAATTGAACAAGGTAGTGTCTTGCTTCATTCTGGTAGAGTGCTTGTCTGAAGAATATTTCGTACCTTGTCCCAATGGCTGCTGATCAGAGGAGAAAACGATTAAGTGGTGCTAGCATTGTTGGTTTTGGTTCTAGAGAGCAGGACAGGCATAAAAGAAGAAATTTTGGACCAGTGCAAAATGACTTAAACATGAAATCTCACATTTCTGTTGAGTGGGATGCCAATCAGAGAAGGGTTGTTGCCAAGCGGGAGCAGATAGGCATCAGCTGGAAACAAATGAAGCCGCTTGTCAATTTTGTTCCTAGTGGCCACAACATCTTGGCTGATGTGTTTCCCGTACCTGAAGAAATTTTTGACTTCGATAATTTAAGCAAGGTTCTTTCATTTGAGGTAATATGATGTTGTGGTCAGGTTAATTATTTGCAGCTAAAATTATCATCATCGTCATCATGATAATGTTGGGGTCATGCTTAATTGTTCTTATATAAAACTTATGACAGGTTTGGATGACCCATCTTTCAGATGACGAGAGAAACCTTCTGATGAATTTGCTCCCCAGGGGCTTAGAGCCTCACCAAGTTGTTCAGGAATTACTTTCTGGGGATAACTTTCACTTTGGAAATCCATTCCTGAAATGGCAAGATCTCTTTCTTGATATCTTTAGAGTATTTGAGTTTTTGTTTTTGATTTCTGATAGCATAGTCTACCATATGTATTCATGCATCTTCACATATAAGGCCGATCTAGTGCACCCAGTTGTGCATATAAATATATGGTGCACGAGTAAGTGGCAATTTCTTATGATGAAGTGGGAATGATGTTATTAACAGATACATGTTGACTAGCTTCAGTCTATGAGAATATTTTGGGCATAAATTCTTCTTAGAAGATCCTATGAAATATTTATAGATGTAATCCGATCTTATAGAACATCAAAAAGGTTTTGTTATTTGTAGATTTGTTTTGGTTGCACATAGAAAATTAGAATTTTGTAATATATTAGGGGTCAGATTAGTTGGGTTACCTTTCTGCTTCTTTTGTTAGTCTTACGTTATAGTTTTTATGTAATTTACTACCATCTCTATGTTTTCCATGAAATCAGTGCTTTAGTTGTTAGTTAGTGGCTAACCATTGTTGGTAGTTGGTAATAACTTCCTTGAAAAAAAGTGATAACTATTGTAAATACCTGCTTTCGGTTTTGAGCAATACATGGGTAAGTGAGGAAGAATGGGTCGCAGTAATAAACTTTTTTGTGTTGAGATGACTTGAGGATATCAATGTTCTTGTGCTTTGTACACAATTGTTATTAGAGCAACAATTCTTGGAAGCACAGTGAGGGAGACTCTCCATATAAATTCAGAGAGCTGGAGTAGGACATGGAACAAATCCATTTATAGGTGAGTTAATAATAGAGTTCCACGTCTAGAATGGAGAACATTCTCTTTAATAAGGCATCCAAACTTCTCCAAATGCCATTGAGTTCCAGTTGAGAAGTAAACGGAGCAAAAGCAAGTATCAATAGAGGATAAACGTCAAATTGATGCCCACAAGATAGTTTATTCAATGGGAGCCAAACACGGGTGATTTGTCAAATTGACGCTGATACGTCTGGACCAAAGAATCCAATTTATAAGCATACATTGGAAGGTAAGGCACTGCAATGGCATCAAACATTTCTGAGGAAGGGAAGAATAGGAGAAAGAAGTTGGATAGAGTATCTTGAATACAGGGACACTTAATTCAGACTTATTATGGGTGTATCCAAAGGCTGAATTTAAAAACCTAAGACGGATCAGGGGCTGAATACTGAGAGAAGATCAAAGAATGGCTTTTAGAAATTCAACGACCAGAATAGTTGCCACCAGCTGCTTCTTGGGAGGATTAAAGCTGAAGTTGAGGCTTCTTTATGCATGTCCAAATCCAACACGCTTGTGAACACCATGCAGCTAGCAAGATTGCAAGAGGCATCCATCCAAGCTCTCCGCAGGCAAACTACCTACCCAAACGGATCCATGCAACCAGAGCATTCTTACCTCTTTCTTGAATCCACGAATGCAGAATAATTAACTGAAACTGAAAAGTCCCTCTACAGCTGACAAGAATCAAATATCCAACCTCAACAAAAGCAAAACCAGCATGCTAAAGCTTTACCAAGAGAGAGGAGAGAAGGGGCAAGGGAATATGCTACTGGTTTCCTGAGATATATTCATTTGACCACAAATTGAAGAATTCTCAAATTTTTATGATTCTGGTTCAAGAAGAGGAAGCTAAAGCTTCCAATGATACTCAAATGAGCTCTGAAATTACAGTAAGCTGTCTACAAGAGCAAATCTATCCTGGCTATCAGGTGCCTCAGAAAGACAATGTATTCTTAAACCAGTCTAGACAAACAAGAGGCAAACTTTATTGGCTTCCCTAATTCTGCCATTACTGGAATCCTCAAGGATAAGGATTATTTTGTGTGGGGGAAACAATTATTACATGGAACTTCGATTTACTTAGTTATCAAGTAATCATTGTTAGTTGAATGACTAGTTAGTGATAACTATTGTAACTTGCTACTAAACCCTTGTGAGTAATGTAACAGTGAGTGAGGAAGGATTGGGCTTGTGATAACAAGATTTGTGTTTTGATGGCTTGAGGCAACATACCCTTAAAACCAAGTGTACCCTTAAACCAACGGAAACACTCAAGATGCAACCTTTATCGGTTCCCCTAATTCATCCATTACTGCAATTATTGAGAAGTATTATTTTTCATGGTAGGCGTTATTGTTGCTTGGGACTGGTAGTTAGCAAGTAATTACTGTTATTGTTAGTTGAATGAGTAGCAGTGACTAACTATTATAATTACCTTCTTACCCTTAAGGGTACGTGAGGAATGATTGGCCATGTGATAATAAGATTTGTGTTAAGATAGCTTGAGGCTTGCTTTTTGTCTCCTTTACACTGATGTGTCTGTAATTACCTTCTTACCTTCATGAGTAATTTTGGTAAGGATGAGTAAAGATTGGGCATATGATGGTATGGTTGATGTTGAGATAGCTTGAGGCTTAGTTTTCGTCTCCTCTATACTGATATGTCTGTTTTGCTTGTGATCATTTCTAATACTGTTGCTGTGGCTTTCTTACGGTTCATTCTCCCCCACTCCCCCAAAAAAAATAAAAAATAAAAAAAAATTGCTGGCTATTTATCTTGGCAATTTTTCATTACAAAAAGTAATAAAATTTCTTTAGTCAGTTGGTCTTTTTATGTAAACATTCCTGTTTCCTGAGTCTTAATTGGGTTTGAATTATACACCTGCAGGGGAACCTCATTTTGTTCAGGGGATCTTCACCCTGATATGATTGTTGATAGAGAAAAGCATCTTAAGTCTGATAAGAAATTGTACTATGCAGAGTTACATAATTATCACCATGAGTAAGTTATGCATTTTTATGCCACTGCACATCCTTCCATTTCTGCATTATGATATTTATTATAGTATTTTAATTCTTCTTGTTGCAGTATGATAGGATATTTAAAAAAGTTGAAAGAGAAGTGGGAACACGGCCAAGATCCAGTAAAGGAAATCATGCCGAAGACTTGGAGGTGTATATTTATAGACTTCTGATGTATTGCAATTTGCACACCCTGCACACGTGCACATGTACAAGAATGTTAGACATGTTTTTCTGTTATGATTATGAGGAGGATGTCTTATCCAACTCTTGGCTCCCAATATTTGCATTGGTGGTTCTCCATTGTACCTGCAGGGAAGATGGCAACCGGGATATACCCTATGCAATTCATATTAAGATTTATTGTTTTGAAAATGCATGGATTTTATCATTGATTTGAGACACCGTGTCATTTAAAGGCTGAGATGGTTGATTCCTGGATTTTCATTGTTCAGATGTGTTTAATGTGATGATGTTTTCCCCATTAGCACCTTTGGAACACCCAAAAGTTGAGAATTGAATTGAGTGGAATTGTCTTTTTTTTTTGGGGGGTTTAAATTTGGCTTGTAATTGAGTTACCAAAAAAAAAAAAAAAACCAAAGTGGATTTCGATATCATTTTTATATCAGCCAAAATTGGCATGGATTTCACCATCGTGAATTAATTTGGTGTTTACAAGACGTTTTTATCCTGCCAATTATATTTAGTAGACAAAAACAAATGGAGCCTGGTCTTTTAAACGCTTTTCTATTTTTCTTGGAGACCCTGTCTCCACCTTTGGAGCTGATTTCTTAATTTTCGATCCTGAAGTAACATTTTAAATAATTGCAGAGGGGTTTATTTGTACAAATTCGAAAGTTTAAAGGGTTTTATTGTAACTAAAATTTTAGTGAGTTCTATGCAATCTGAACTTTTTATATTTGTTATAAACAGACTTTTTTGTTGGTAATGTTTATTAATGTAAAAGAATTTCTGATATAACATAACATATGCTAAGTTTTGCTTGCAATCAATTGAATTCGTTTTTGATATGGTTTTTCTCCATCTGAATTGGAAGCTTAGTTGATAATCATTGATGCGATAATTTCATGGGATTATCCAGGTCAAATAATGTGGAGAAAAGAATGCCCTTAAATTTATATGAATCTAGGGTTTACAATCATGATGAGAATGTTACAGCTTCATCTGAGTCGGGTTCTTGGGCAGCTGAGGAGAAAGCATTTAGTAGCGACAACCAAATTTCCTTGGTGAGGAAAGGTGATAAACTTCAGAAAAGGTAATTAATCAATCCTTAACTATTAGCAATATTGGTATTTCTCTTTGGTGGTATTCACTTGGGCTATGCTTGGATGGTTTTTTTGTAACTAGTCCTGCCTCATTTCTTGTAACACATTAATTGCTTGCTTGCGGGCTTGATGTTAATGATGTCCTCTAGCAGCAGTTTCTGTCACAGCTCATGATTTGCATTTCTTTAAATAGTATCAGTTGCACAAGCAACTGCCAAGAAACTCTTGGTCCAACGGATTTCCTGGCTGGACAGTGCTAAAACTGCCATTGCATAAGATCTTGGTCTGTTTTCATTGGGGGCAGGGAGGCGGATATTTCTGCTCATTCAGTCATGTTTTGGCTTTTATATTCTTCTGTAGCTTGTTTTTGGGATTATGTAATTGAATGTCCTTGATGAATAGTTGTTTCTTATCGTAATAAAAAACAAGTAATTTAACTATTGAGAGCAAATTTCTTAGATTATATTCCCTCCATTCTTATTTATAATGTGTTGGAGATATCTTTCACTTGCTTTAAAAAAGTTATCATGTTGTTTTATTTGTTAAAAAAACATCCCAACTTTCCAATTATACACTTACTAATTAAAGGAAGACAATGAGTCATCTTCTTGTTTGTGCAAATGCTTTCTCAATTTAAAGAGTAAAATTAGAAGATTATGTCATCTTTTTGTTTGACACCTTATAATTAGGACCACTTTTTGTTTTTGCGAAACATCTTATAAATAGGACCAAAGTAGTATGTATAGAAAAAAGGGAATGGTATTTTACAGTTATTTGGGGTAGTTTTCACTGCTGAAATATTGCTTTGCAGGGCGCCTGACAAAGGCTCTGTTAAAGGTAAACCTAGGAATCTGATTGTCTCTTCAGATGATATGCTTAATGAGAGAGCAAGACCTATGAAGGGAGACAAACTGCTTAAGCGTATCACTTATTCTAGTGAAAGCAACAAATATATGTCATGTATCAAGGTCAGGCACTGCCCCCTTTATCTCCCTCAAATTTTATTTTAATAATTTTTAGTTTTTTTTGGTTTTGTTTTTAAAGTATAGAATTGGCAGGGACAAACATCTTAATGGTTCAGTCAATTATTTTATTAATTTCAGCAATTAGAAGGACAAATGTTGGTCTTTCAATTATGCTAATTGTATTGTCCCAACTCCTATATGATAATTAAAAGTAAACCTAAGTTTTCAAGTCTGTCTCTTCGTTGGAGATTGCTGTGTTCATAAAATTCTTCTGTGATATTATTCAAAGCTTTTACTGTGATGTTTGTTTTTCCATTAATCCCCCCCATAAAAATTGCCGCCTCTTTGATAGCAAGGACTAAATCAAATGTGTTGTTGATATTTCTATGAATTATTCTCTTCTTTCTTCTCTTTCAGGATGAGCTAGTCTTTTTGTCCCCTGGGTAGGGTGTTCTATTAAATATCTGTTGGATTTTCTGATATCTTTTTCTGTGCCTGTCAGATTAGCAAGAAGCAGCATGAACTTGTTAAGAGTATGAAACAGACTGGTAAAAGTATCGAGTCTAGATCTCTCAACCGTGTTTTGGGTAATCTTGATAACATTCATGTACAATCATATGAAGTATTCATCAAGGAAGAACAGAAGAAGTTGCATGAGCATTGGTTAGTATGTTGTCTAGAGCATTTCTTTAGCTGCTGCCTTGTAAAAATTGTGTTGTTCCTGCTAATTCAAAAGCATTAATTGTATAGGTTGCAGTTAGTGAACAAAGACCTCCCTGTGGCGTACACAAACTGGACACAGAGGCATAAACAAAGAAATGCTGTGATAATTTCTTTGGTGGTGGAGATCAAGGATAAACCGAAGAAGCTGCTGTTAGAGGTTTGTAATTATGATTTTTTTTTGAACAAAATTCATAATTTCCTAGGATAGAGCTTGCAGGTCTTGTATGAGATTTTGGAATATCCGGGAGATATTTGGTTTTGCTGTTATTTGTTGCTGCATAACAGTGGAGCAGCTTATTAGTGAACCTGTCAGTACGTTTACAATTATGTTTGGCCCTTTAGGATGAGGATGGTGAGAGCTCGGGGAGCAAGCTTCAAGATCAGGAAGAGGATGGAGGTCATGATGATCAGTCTATCTCAAAAGACACTGAAGATTCTATTTCTAGATCCCCAGAGAATCAGTCCCTAACACATAATTCATACCGAGGCAGTGACAATGAGGTCAACTCCACATTGTCAGATTCTGAAAAGACTCTTGTTTTATCAAAATCAGGTGATGATTTGCAGAAAGAAACTGAGTATTCAAGGAATATGAACACTCAAGATGTTCCTGTTGGTGAAGGAACTCCTTTTTCTTCTCGTGGCGGTGATGTCTGGCAAGCACCTGAAATGCCACATTCTTACTATGATTCTGGTGGGACCCATGAATATACAGCTAGTGGAATGTCACTTGCAAACCCACAAGTAAATGAAGAGCAGCAAACCCATCTGATTGATCTAGAATCTGACTTGCATCAGGAAGAGACCAGTAAAAAATTACAGAGGCAATCAGGTGATGGATCCTTTAGTTATCCAAACCAAGATCGTAGTGATTTGCTCCAATCCCTATTCAAGGGAGAGGGAGTGTTATCTTATCATCAAGAACAAAAAGGAGCCGGGTTAGATTTCCTGAGTTCTAACAATGCCATGATAGGGGATGGTCAATTTTCTGGTCATTTCAAGGAGCCCCTGCCAACATCATTTACATTGGACCAGGTGCATCGGAGACCTAGTGAGGTTTACATGCCAGAAAACATCTCAGATAATATTTATTCAGATGGAGGTAGCAGATACATGATTCCCAGGCAAGATCCATTATCTGCAGTAAATATGAGTGATTGGGCTGGTAATGCTTCCCGCATGTCTGCACCTCCTCAATCTCACTTGAATACAGGAGAATTCATTGGTCAGCATTGGTTTCCTGCTGACCATCAAGTTCGTGGTGCCTGGAGTGGATCTGATGGCGGTAGTCTGTCAAGTCAGAGTCTTAGCACAGGAGGCAATTCTGATCAGAGCTTATTTAGTGTTCTATCTCAGTGTAACCAGTTACGAGCAGCAAATCCCTATGACCCAGTCAGACACACTGACCAATTCGTTACAACCAGATCCTATGGAGCAGTAGATGCTAGCATACCCAGGCTAAATGCAGCTGTACCTCAAACTTCTCATCCATTAGATTACTTAAGTGGACGTGAGGCTCATAGTTCTTTGCTGCCTGATGATTCGGCATGGATGAACTTACCACATCAGAATCCTGCTTTACTTGATCAAATGGGAAAGCCGTACTTGAGGTCGTGGAATCGGTGACTGATATTTTCCCCTTCCAAGGGTTTTAAGGGTTTAGAGCTTGATTGCAAGGCAAAAAGAATACATGAGGGATGCACATTCTGTGTATTTTTAGTATTTTTGTGACTTAAGCAAAATTCACAGAAGGGGTGGATACGTACCCTGTGATTAGTAGGTTTCTGTACATACTTATACCAAGGTCAACTCAAACACCTTGTTGTATATATCTAGATGTTAGATGGGCAGGCAGGCAGCCAAGAGAGGGTAAGAGGGAGTTCTAGAATCTCTCGTTAGGCAAGTTACAGTTTACATTCTTATTTGCGATTTTTTTTCCCTTTGTTTCTCGAGAGACATTCTTTAATAATTCTGGAAGGTATGAAATTCTGTGGCAAGTGCCTTTTTTTTTTCTTAATGGAAAAAATTTGTCTGGGTTACCTCTTGTTTTAGCTTGGGTAATGATGCTGACAATAAGTTTTTGCCTTTTGTTGACCATGATGGCTGTCAAGTTACATGGATGATTTTCTGATTTCCTGATCCCATTTGGATCTTGCAAAAAAAAAAAAAAATGGGGCTTAATTCAGTTAGTCAGCCGAAATGGTACGTAATTCGGGGTTCTAACTTCCACCTAGTTCAGTCGCCAAGGCGCAGGCTTCGAGCCTCGGACACGAGGCTAAGGTTGAATGTAATGCACCAGCTCGCTAGCGGATTTGCGGTGATACACAAAAAGCTGCCAAATAATTGTTTTGACCTCCACGACCTGGAAACTCCAATAATGATGGACGGTGTCATCGCATTGTCGGCATTTCTTCAGCCACACATCACCATCCAATAATCTCCCGAGTGTCTATCTAATAATGGTTAAAACTGTCCCTGGGTTTCATTCGGGTCCCCCCCCCCCCAAAAAAAAAAAAGCAAAGGATTTTTGTTTCTAAGTTATTATCGCCATGCTCGAAGTCCAACTTTTTAACTCCACGGTTGAACAGATTATATTTTTTTTATTTCTAAATCCAAACGAGAGAATATGTGCCTTGTTCCTTGTAATTACAAATGGATAAACCATTTTTTTCCCAATTTTTGTGATTATTTTAGAATTGACTGCCCCAAAACTTACTAATTACCTTTCTGAACTGAATCATTAATGAAATTGGGTCTAGTAGAAGGATTAATTTCTCACACAAGAGTAAATCTATTCTCAAATTTTTGAATTTTTGTTGTACGAAATTTCCACATTTAATTATCTATCATGCCTCCAACTTGCTGATAAAAAAAAGAAAAAGAAACTTTCCGAAATGAATCGACTGATCAATTACAATTATAACTTCAAGAATTTATTTCTTGCATTTTGTTCTGCCTCCGAAGTCCGTTGAAAGTAGAAACCGAAGCAACTCGCTGAAGGCCTGAAAAAAAAAAAAAAAAAAAAAGCCGAAAGGAGGAAACCGAAGAATCGTTTGCTTGAAAACGCAAGGTGTACGGCCAACGGTGAGGGGCGCGAGTTTTATAGAAACTTACTGTTTCAGCTTTTTGGGCGCGGTTCTTGTAGTGGTACTTTGAAGTTCCTCTACCTTGTCTCCTAAGCATGAATTGATTCTATGATGGTTGATAAAGAAACCCTACTATTTCGTCTACCTTCCTCTTAATTATGTTATAAACGATTCCATTAAGTCCTCATTGATTCTAATTTCAAGGTCTTGGGTGAGGGAGGGAGTTTCAGAGACAGGGACGCGACTTGATAGAGGAGGTTGCGAGTAAAAATGGCTCATCTGCATTCACACGGAGCCGATCACAAAAAGAAAGAAGTCATCCGTTTGGAGCGCGAATCGGTCATTCCAATTCTGAAGCCCAGGCTTATCATGACGTTGGCCAACCTTATTGGTATGTTGTGGCCTTGTACTCTAGCACCCACTTACTCCAGCCTCGCATATGAAATTGTTCAAATGTTGTTGTGGTGTTTCTCGTTGTCAAAGGCGCACTTTTGATTCTGTTTGCACATTGTACTGTTGTCTTTTTGTTGTCTATGCATTGAAGGTATATCAAGTGTCACGTTTAGATTTTTTGCGGGGAAATACTGGTCAATGATCATTTTTAATGCAGGTGAACTACACTGTCATAAATGTACATCTTGGGTGAAATTTGCTTGTCCGTTGCTTTTCAGTCAATCTTTGGGGAATATTTCTGACTTCACATCGAAAGCAACATTGATCATGAACTCGCTCCCTTATCAAATTGAATTATTTTGTAGTGTTTTCAGTTCAAGTTTTTAGTCTAGCTGAAAAATAAAATAAGAATAGCTTTCCCATTTCTGCAAACTTGGTTTCCTCTTCCTGGCTTTAAGTCTCTTGACTTTTCTGCAGAACATAGTTCGGACCGGGCTGAGTTTTTGAAGCTCTGCAAGAGAGTAGAGTACACAATCCGAGCTTGGTACCTTCTACAATTTGAGGATTTGATGGTATTATTCTCTCCCTGACCTTTTGGAGATATAGCCGTTGATACATTGCAGAGCCTGATTATTTTGTGCCTCAGCAACTCTACTCCCTCTTTGACCCTGTACATGGGGCCCAGAAGCTGGAACAACAGAAGTTAGCCCCTGAAGAAGTTGATGTACTTGAACAGAACTTTTTGACTTACCTATTTCAGGTATTATGGCTACTTCATGGATGTATAATATTTACAAAATTCGTGTGGTTCATTAATATGATTTAGATTTGATGACCTCTCACAATGACACTCCTAGTAGAACATTACTCAGTGTGTTGCTACTCTTTGCTAATAACTTCTGTATAATGGTCTCCATCAACATGTTTTGTATCCTCAAATGCTACGTATCATGTGATGACAGTCAGTTCGAAGCTGATCCTGTTTCACCTTCAATGTGCTTTGTATCAATTGAGATTCTTTTCTATGAGATTCTGTCATGTAACAAAGACTTGAGGGTTAATTTTGCTGTTTGTTATCGAGAAAACATTGAAGGGTCAGGGTGAGTCTGGGTGTGAAATGATGGCTTATAATTGATCACTATGCAGCTCTCTCTTGTACATAACTAACTTCAAAACCAGGACAAGGTGTTTGGGAAATAACATTTTGATGACACACAAAATGTGGGAGCTGAGTGAGCCAAAGTAGTATGGCGTATATATATCTTAAATATCCATCCCTTATAGTATATTGCATTCTTTATGTAGGTAATGCAAAAGAGCAACTTCAAGATAGCAACTGATGATGAGGTTGATCTTGCACTTTCAGGGCAGTATCTTCTAAATCTTCCCATTACTGTTGATGAATCTAAGGTTGTTCTAATTCTTGTGCCTTTGTAATATTTCATTGTTAGTTACTATATGCAACCATTATGAGCATGCTATTTGAGTCTGATGGCATAGGTTATTTGGGATATTTGATTGTGCATAACATTTGATGATCTTTGTGCATTTGCTGTATTCAGCTTGACAAAAGGCTTTTGAAGAAATATTTTGAAAGTCATCACCATGATGACCTGCCGGATTTCTCTGATAAGGTAAGATCTTAAATCTAGTACAAGGGGTAATGCTCATTAGGATTTTTTTCCCCATGGAGGCCTGGAGGATGGGAGTTAATTAAGAATTGAAGGGATGATATATGCTTATCTTGAAGCTCTGAGTCATCACATATCATCTCTTTGACATTTTCAGGTCTTTTAATTTGTGATCTTGTGTTACTTTTGTCCTGCCTGGTCTGCTCTACATTTTGACTTTCGCATGCTTTGTCAATTTAGTATCAAGTGCATGATATTTGGTCTCAAGCGGTGAATTGTGTATAATTTTCATAACTTTGATCTTCCAGATGACACTCATTACCAAGATAGAAGCAAGTAAAACATTTGACAGAAAAGTTTATATTGTTAATCTAGGTTTGTTCAAGTCATTTGAAATTTTGAAAGTCCTTGAACTTTTTAACATCATATAATATCATGTAATGAGTCTCATAGAGGATTCAAGTTACTGGCTTTGTCACAGAAAGTTTAATTATAGTTATCATGATCTTATTTTTTTTTTATCCTTTTTCCTGAAAGATATAAGTGTGCTCCTTATGTGTTTTTCGTCAACAATCACATGAAAGATTTGTCATATGCTGGGATCAAATTAATTTTAGTCTTGGGTGAAATATCTCTTCTTATTCTTAAAAAAATTTGATGTGGTTTCAGTACCTTCTGAGTTCTTACTTTATATATGCAGAAGCAGTTGGTCTTGCTTGATGGAAGGAAAACTGGTTTCTCTGATTTGACAATTAGATTCCAATAATAATAATAATAAAAAAAAAGATTCTAACATGTTTTGTGCGTCATATTTATTAACATTCCTGAAGGGGCATTTTCATTAGATGTTTAATCTTGATGACTTAATGAAAATGCCCTTCTTAGCTATCAGAGTGAGGTCTTCATTGCTGATCTCTGAACTTCTTATGATAAACAATTATTTGTGTTTGTAAACAGCAACAACGTATTATTTGCCTTTGCACTAATGGTTTAATGCCACATTTTCAGTTGATTTCTGATGGCCCAAAAATAAAAAAAAAAGTTGACTTCTCTTGATCACACTCACTTGTGAGCTAATGCATGAGTATTATCTCGTTCCTTGTTATTGGATTGTTTTGCAATCTAATACATCTTATTTTTCTAGTATGTTATTTTTCGCCGAGGCATTGGAATTGACACAACAACTGATTACTTTTTTATGGAGAAAGTAGACATGATCATTGGACGTTTTTGGGCATATCTGTTAAGACTGACTAGGTAAGCAAACTTTTGGACCGTCAACTGAATTTGTTGATTGATGCTATTGAAGAATCTATTGTCAGATTTTAATAGATACCTGATTATTTGAAATTTTTGTCACTTTCAAATCCTGCAAAAGTATTTGAAGCCATTATATGCATGAAACTGAAACCTTTTCTTTTTTGCATGCCTTATAAGAATTAATGTAATAAGCTCACCTTTAAACTGAAAGGATTTATCTTTGGAAGTGTATAATTTGCTATTACCTGTGAATATGTTAGGGTGAAAATAGCATGCTTCTTAGGCTAACTTCTGAAACATAATATAAATTATGGTTCTTGCAGGTTGGAAAAGTTATTCTCTCGAAGGTCAAAAAGACATCATAAGAAAGGCCCAAAGAAGGATGATGATATTACATCTGAAGCAGAGCGAGATGACCTCTATGTTGAACGAATTCGCTTAGAAAATATGGAAATAAGGTCTTTTTTACACATTTTTTGTGGACTGTTGCTGTTGTCATTTTGTGTTTTCATCGCATCTTTTTGGGCTGGGGTTATTCTATGTGCAATTACTTTATAACTTTTTTGTTTACCTATAATATCTTCTTGACATAGATGGTGACCATTCAGCAATTTCAATCAAGTTTTTTTAAGACTTCTGTGAAACCTGAATTCTGGCATTTTCACTTCA